CACTCAATAAATGCTAACGGATGGTGAAGATTATGATGACATTTGACTTAACTACTGAGATTGGATGATATTACCATTTGAATAAATGAGTAAAAGATCTACAATAATAATAAATAGGCTTATAATGAACATTCACTTTTGAACTGCCTCTCTCAACTTAGTATAAACTTGGTGACTTAGCTGATGTTGCGGCTGAAAGGATTCAGAATGCCGACAGGACCTTAACAAGCTGGGATAACCCCTTAAGGATGTGAGACGAGCTAGTTTTACTGTTTGGTCCATAAAATATACAGTTTTATGTCTCTCCCTATTTGATGAAAGAACCACTATTTCTGCAGAAAATTTACTTCTGATCTGTCCCTGGTAGCTTTTACTGGCAGATATATCCGTCCCTCAGCTGCTATAAGAATTGGTGGCTAAAGCTCACAGCTGCACCTTACTGCAGAGAATTGCCCTCAGCCCAAAGGAGCAATATTACCCAGAGATGTGTAGGAGATTGAGGTTGGCAGAGGAGGAAGCTTCTGGTAGCCAGTGACTGCTGAAGGGGAGATACAATTTCAGCTCCCTTGCCTCAGTGTGGCATGACTCAGTGGACCATTCTTCCTACAGAGCTTCCTTCTGGAATCAGCCTGAGCCTGGGCTGCAGCTGGATCTACGTCTTGGCCCAAATTCTTCCCCTGAGCTATCCTGCTTCCTCAATCCTTTCAGGTTTCTCCTGGGAGAGCCCCCTCAACAAATCCCTCACAGAGAACTTCAGTCTCAAGCTCTGTTTCCAGGGGACCCAACCTCAGGAGCCTTCCTAGTGCATCTCCTTCTACAGCTACGCTAGGAGGAGGAGAGATTTTTGTGTTGTTGCTCTTCTAGATGAATGCACAAAAACCTTTATAAGTCCTTGAATACTTTGTGGTTTTAGTTTTCTAGTCCTATACATTTATTTAGATTTATTTTCTAGTCCTATACATTTATTTAGATCGTGGAGGGTAGTAACCATCACAGTTTAGCATACCTCTTTTAGATCTATACATTTTAAAGATGAGAAACCAAAAGAAAACTCTGGGTCCCCTGAGGCATGTGGGTGGCAGCAGAATTTCAGTGCTTTTCTTAACACAGCTTCTGCCATTTAGGGTGAAGCTCTGACAAGCATAACATATTAGCTAAAGTACAATAAGCTAAATTTCATCCTAAATATAAAAAGGCTTACTTTCAATACTGCTGCCAGTGATATGATGGAGAGTCAAGCTTCAGTATCTGATGACATGTGTTAGATCATAAATTTGAAAGGGAAGAGACAGTTTACATGAAACTCTTAGTTTGATAGTTTGAATAAAACTCTCCATCAACTTAATTAAAGTTTTTGGAAAATATTACAATATTTCAGAGATCTATTTCCAAGAATTGAGATGAGAGGGCTGACATTGGTGGTCATAGAAGGTATTTCTTTGTTCTCATTTGCTAATAAGAACCTGGCTACAAACAGCCTATATTAGCTATTGAATATCATTCTTAGTTGGGCAAGACCCAAATCACAGTTTAACTTTAGACTTCTACTCAGTTCCAGGCCATGGTGTTTGCAACCTGTCGGAGGCTAAGGAATTTGTGTGCAGCAGCATTAATTTTTTATGATTGTATTCCTATTAGATGTCTCAATGGCATTTGGTGCTACTAACAGGAAAGGATTCTGGCTGTCATAGACACTAAATAAATTTTGTCCACCACTCACCCACACAAAAATGCTCCTCATTATTGGCAAGTTGAATAGTGACAGAGTGGCCAGTGCTTCATCTGATTTATTTCCTATCATAAACAGCTGATGGTGCAGACTGACTACATGGATCAAATCTGGCCTAATGGAATAACTACTTTAGTCGGAATAGTGCATTTAAGAAAAGTTGAATGAACAGTAAAAAAAAAAAAAAAAAAAAAAGACTAGGTATTATATATATGAACTTTGATATCCAGCTTCTCTTGAAAAATTAGAGAATTTACCAGTTTGTCAGCCTTGAGTCATATATCAGTAAGGTCCAGGTGGGAAACAAATGGCAAATTCAACTTTGGACATTTGAGGAAAGCTTAATAAATGCGTTGTCTACAAATGTGTGGACAGTGTGTAGGGAAACCACAAAGTAAATGACAGTGCCCTGGAACTGGTAACCTCAGGGAGTGGTTGCAAGGAGCAAGGGGAAAGGGAAACACTACAACGCAGAGAGTCAGCACAACGTGCAGAAGCCTGTCTGACCTTGGGTGAAGAACACAGCCAGCTCATGATGGTGCCTCACGGAGGAAGTTGGAGGAAAAAAAATGTCCAAACCTCACTCTCTGTACCTCTGATTTCTTGCTCATGCTCCTCATTGGCCAAATGAAACTGGAAGCTATAAGTCAAGGGAGTCTTGAGGCAGTCCATAAAGGTTAGTCTTGAGGGAAAGAGAGCAAGATGGAGAAGGTTGGAGAGGGGGATCCGGAGGGCCAAGCAGAAGATATATAGCAAATTAGCAATTCACTACTGTAGACAGAGCTTATATTGTTTGCCACAGTCTCCACCAATATTTATTGATCTCCAAAACAAAGCTGAATATCAGTTGCCATTTATTATCATGTTGGCACAATGATGTTTCTTATAGGACAGATCCATTTCTTTACTAATGTTTCTGTAAAAAGTGAGCAAGGAAAGATAGAAGACCAAATTCTTCAAGAAAACTGAAAATATTTATTTTTCTTGTAGAAGAGAAATATTACTATGTTTAATATGTAAACAAAATATACCTTGGTCTCTCTCTCTCTTATATATAGAAATACGTATATATATGTACTTTGCCTGCTTCTTTTGTGAGGTCAGGTTCTCTCTCCTTGATAGCACTCTGATTTTTGTGTTGGGAAATTACCTTTCCATTATTGGGTATAGTCTTTTTTGAGAGGATAATTCTAGGTGACTTGTTTTCACTTGGAAGCTGAAGCATTAGGAGGCTCCCTCTACCCACCACATGGGCAGGCACATGACTTAAGCACAGTCAACAGAGTTCTCTCTCTAGGGACTTTGACCAATGAGTGTGTATTTCAAGGGCAATGGTTCATTTCTGTTGCTGGCAGCCAAGAACTCTGACTGAAGTGTTATCTACACTTGAGTAGGAAGACCATTAATAAGTTGGTGTTTAAATGTGCTTCTGACATTTGGGAAACTCTTCTAACTCGATAGGCTATGGAGACAGTTACAGAGGAATTGCTACATTAAGATGATCATCCAGAAATGAGAGGTACCTGTTGAGCATCCTTTACTTTGACAAATTTGCAGATAAAGCTGAAGACCGTGACTATGCTCCAGCCTACTCCAGGAGAGCATATACAAGCCTAATATTTTCCCCAATGAAACAGAGTGAAGACTGCCACTGAATTAGAAAAAAGCAGCCTGTATTATGAAAGCCAGGATGAAATATAAAGTAAAAAAGCAGGAAATACCAAATACCAATATTTCCAGCAGGAAATACGAAATAAAAAAAAGATGTACCATGCTAATACTCAGAGGTAGGAACTGGACCTGACCCAGGCATCGTATTTATTTATTATTATTTGATTTGATTTATTGTTTTTAATCTTAAGTGTTTCTATGTTATTATCATATATCAGCTGGCAAATAACTGGGACTCAGAGCAAGCGTACCATCATTGAAATAATGCTCATCTCAATAGGATTCCACTGAGTTGATATGTTCAAAATGTATAATAGCAAACTAGCAAGCAGGATCATGATAATAATAGTTAATACATGTCAGACACTGTACTAAATGCTTAAGTACATAATTTCAATTAATTTTTATGACACTATAAAGTAGGTACTTTCATATTTTATAAATGAAGATCCTGAGGCTTAGCAAAGATTAGAATCTTGCTCAAGGTTACATGACTTAGCCAGTAATCTCAAGCAGGAGGCAGAAGAAATGATGCACATATCACTAAAATAAACCCTTAAGTATGTGGCATAATTATGACAATATAGGCAGAATCAACAAGTATTTCAAAATTAGTCGTAATAATAAGTGGTAATATTTGAGTCCTTACAATGTGTCCAGAACAATGCTTAGCATTTCACAGATGTAATAAGAAATAATTTGTTAGGAAAAAAATTGTAATTTGTAGACTATTTCTGTCCAAACCTCTATCTTTTCAAGAAACTTAGATCTTTGATTGTCCCTTATCTATCTTATATTTTTATCTTTCCCTCTCAACTATATCCTTTCCACTGGCTTTTGATTAAGCTCAGGTCTTTCTGTCTTAGAAATCAAACAAATAATTCCCTAAAACAAAATAAAAAAGACCTTTCTTCACTTTATTTTCCCATCTGGCTATCACTCATATCAGGTTCGTCATTTTTACAGTAAAATTTCAGGAAAGAGGTGTCCATTATGTCTGTCTCACTTTTCTTACCTTCCATTCACCTCTCAATCCATTTGTGGATGTGGGTTGCCAGACCCCCCTCAAAGAAGGACTTGCTGCCCAGCTGAGGGGAGTATGGTCTGCAGACTGACTGCCTCTGGCTGTCTGCTCCTTCAGGGTCTGCCTCAGCTTCAGAATCTTCTTACACAAAGTCACGGGCCTTCCCAAGGTGGCCCACATATGGTGATGAGTGAGGTGGAGGTAAAAAGGCTGGCCATTTTGGCCTGAAGGATAGCATTTATTTCCAAGGCCCTCCTCTGTTTGGCTGAAGATGCTGGGCTTGCATCACAGCTCAACTTCTCTCTCTGCTCAATGATGCTTCCTCCCCTTCCTTCCACAGATGTTAATCCCTAGTAGACAGCTGTGTCCCAAACCCTATCCCAGCATCTGCTTCCAACAGGTAACACCATTGCGATCAGCTTGGTCGTGAATGCCTCAATCTTTCTAAGGTCATGTATGACCTACATGTTGATAAATCTAATAGGCATCTCTCAGCCATCAGTTTGCTCGATATCTTATGGCATTTGAAGCAGCAACTAAGGAAAAATTACAGTGGCCGCCCACTGGATTAACACATTCTTTGGAGACATATCATTTATTCTTTCATTATCAAATATACAATGAAGGGCTTCAAATACTATTTCAAATATAGGAGTATAAAACAAATAAGACAGCGTCTTTGCTTCTGGGAGCTCTGTTTAATGATTCATTGGACACAGGAGGTGAACGAGCAGAAGTAGAGCAACTCCTGAGTTTTGAGCTTGGGTAAATGGATGATAGAGATGTCACCGAGATAGAATCTACGGGAGTATCATCAACCAAAAGGGAGAAAGAGGATGGGTTCAGTTTTGAGTCTTATGAGTTAAGAGGTACTTGTGGGATATCTATGTAGGTATGACTTTAGAGTAATTGTAGCAGAGACCAAATTTCAGTAAGTTGAAGACAGAATATAACTTGAGAATGCAGCAAAGGGTAAATAGGGACCAGGGTTTCCCAATCCTGGCTAAGCATTAAACTCATATTTAATTAAAAATTGCTTGAAAAGTTCCTTCCCCAGAAATTCTGATTCAGTTGATTTGAGAAGATATGTGTTTCTATAAACAAACTCTCTAGCTGTACTGAGTTCAGTGCAGATCCTCTGGAAAGCAGACACCAAGATGGGGTGAAAATGCAATAATATTTTTTAGGGGAGGATACACGTCTGAGAGGAAATGGGAGGGAACCAGGGAAGACTGGAGGAGCCATCGGACAGCAATGCAGGTCTGACCCCAGTGAAGAGAGGAGGGAGAGATGGTTGGGTAGAAGCATCTCAGAGTGCTATGCAGGGTAAGGAAGGTTTAGCAAGAGTGTTGGAGGGTTCTGTACCTTCCAGGAACAGGCCTGCCACGCTCAGTCATTGGCTACACAGGACCAGCCTGTGGGAAGCCTGGTGTGGGCACAGCTGTGGTGATGGATTTCAGAGTGTAGAAGTTGGGGCCTTTGGTCAATTAAGCTCCACAAAGTTGAAGGTCTGTGAGGCACATTCTCCTGGCTGTCACATGCACCCTACGTTTTAAGATAATGTGATGAGAAAAGGAAGATAGAAATGGGCTGTAGTTGGAGACGTTTTTGGATTAAAGGCAAGGTTTCTTATTGTTTTTTGAATAGGAAAGACTTTGGTAAGATTGTAGAGGAGTATGTTTGTCTCAAAGGAGGGAATCTGCACAATGGAAGTTAAAGATTAAAAGAAGGGAGGGAGTGAAAGAGTGATGGGGAAGAGGGGTGTGTGTGTGTGGGGGGGAATGAGAATGAGTTAACTGTGGAAGAAGAAGACTCCAGAGAAGGCAAGAAGACATGGGATAACAGGCTGTGGCTTTGAATCTGAGGAGTGACATCTTATTCTCTGGGACAGTGTCTGGACATGGGTTAAGGTTGAACGTTGTGGGGAGTTGAAAGGAATCGCACTTAGTTATCTCAATTTCTACTGGAAGACAGGAGGCAAAATATCAGGGACACTGGTGGAAGATTGGTCTTAAACAGAAGGTACCCCATTCTCTGAGGCTGAAGCAAAAAGAGGTAATGATAGCCTCAGAGAAAGACTTTTGTAGATGTGGGATCAAATTATGGAAGCGAGAGAAAGGCTGATGACCTTGATTTCTTGATGAAGTAAGAGGCAAAGTTATCTGCTGAAGTTATTTGTCGTTCTTCTTACATGATGAAATTCCATATATAAAACTATAACAGAAATAATATGAAGTATATTAAAATTAATACTTCAAATATATCTTTTATATTAAGATGATTATCTATTATGTAAATCTTTCATAGGCATATGTGTGTCTGTTTCTTGGTGTATAAACTAAAACTCTAAAATATTCCCTTGGTCTAATTTGGAATTTAAACAACTGACATTTATTGAATTTATATTGTTCTCAATCAGAAAACAAATTACTGGAAATATTCTGTCAATGTATGATGTATATGTTACCAAATTTAACAAACAGAAAGCACTTTTGGACCATGTAATTTTATTTAGTATTAAAATAAATTCATCACGTGAGCATATACAGGCTTCCCCTATCAAAAAGTAGATGTCTAAGTATTTCATAATTGGAAGAGGTCTTTGAGATGAGTGGCTTCTAATTCAGGGACCTCAGACTCCCAGAATCTATAAATCCAGCAATAGAAGTTGATGATCTATTTTCAAATTTCAATGCTTCTAATAGAAATTCCACTTTACTCATATAAAAGTTTTGAGTTCCTTTACAATTATCTGAAATTACTTCAGTTCAGTGGGGCCACTCTTCAGAAGTTCCAATGGGCCTTTACAATATTAAAACATGAATAATGCATTAATTATTATTTAATCAATGAGTTTTAAAAATAAACAGAAGCTTCTGAAACACAGGGCTGGGGTAGGGGGAAGATTATAAGAGTTTGAGGTAACTCATAGTAAAAAAGTTGGGAAAAACTGACTTAGCCTAATCCTGTAATTTGCAGATGAGGAAACTGGCAAGATCAATAATTTACCCGATATCACATCATGTTTCATTCGCAGCAGAGCCAGCATTAGGATTTGCTCATTCCATATTTTGGAAGTTGTGAAAAAATTACCTAATACGCTATCTTCTTGGGTGTTAGGGTTTTGCATTTCATATCATAGTGTTTAGTGTTCTTAGCATTTGGAACCCAGAAGCTTCACCTTTTGTTTTTGGTTTGCTCTGGGAATGAGTCTGCGTCAGTAGGGAACATCTTAGCTAAACACTCAGGATTACTAATCTATACTCCCTCTGCTGGCCAACTTTCCATTAAAGTGGTTTCAAAGAAAAAAGTTCCGTAGAGGTAATTGAAAAACAAAACCAAAAACCGTTAAAGGAGTCTTCATAGTAAAGAGATGGCATAAAGTTTAGTTAATTTCAAAGTCCATTCTCTCATTCTTTGTAATTTTAGGATAGTCCTCACTCATATCTACTCTAGTTACAACAGTAAACAAAATACCGAATTATACCCTTAGCACATGAATCTGCAAACAGAAAACTTAGTTTAGACTCATCTATAGTTTTAATCTTAGGTAATCAACACATATTCACAATTAACAAATAGGGACAAACTTTATATACAATTTCTGCTACTTCTATAATTTTCGAAAAGATGTAACTCACCAGCAAGAGAGGAGAAAAGTCTGCCTTTGTAAAGATAGATGATTTGAAAAGAGAATATAACATATGATCATAATTACAGGTGCAAACAAAAGTTTTCCTTCTTGTGAAATGTTTTAAAATTTTCTTCCTTATATTTCTTTATTCTTCTTCCTTATCTTTCTTTATTCTTCTTCCTTATCTTTCTTTAAACAATACAGTCATTTCTTCTCAAATGATTTTTTTTTGTTTTTTTAGGAAGGGGGAGTTGTCTATGGACGGTCTGAAAGAAGTGCCTTCATAATTGCAGCTGAGGCAGAAATGGGATATTTAATAATTCTTACATCTCATTGATGCAGTCTTCCAAGATGTTGATTAAGCAGATGGATCATTTTCTGAGTTCAAAATTTCAAAACTTTATAATCAGAATTTTATAACTAACAGTAATAAGTAGTTTTTGTGCATTGATTTTTCTATGAACACAATAACATATGCCAATTAAGATCCAGACTTCACATTGACATCAAATGAACATAGAAGAATGACCAAAGCTGAGAGCTAGTCATTGTCATAGATGCAACCTGAAAAAAAAAACAAATTTAAATATGGTTATACAAGTGTTCCAGGGTTGGAAGTGTGGGTGATTCACATTCTCCTGATTTAGGATAAAAGAAGTGGAATTGGTTCACTTTATGACAAACTAGTTAAATGGAAGCACATAAATTTATTTAACTTCTATTGCTCAGTATACAATTTTAACAATGTCTCTGAACAGATTTATTCTCTATCGAAATAAGAGTCAGGATTATTTTATTTCATCTGGCACTTAAATGTGCTTTTTGGTAGTCATTCTGAATGAGGTTGAAAATATTAAATATCAGTGCAAATCATAAGTTTAAGAGGAGACTAAAAGGCAACATAATTAACACTATGCAGCATTCCAGTTGAGACTAATTTTTTAGATCATGATTTAGAAATATATGAGGTTTAGAGAATACTAGTGAGTATTACAGGTTATGAAATAAGTGCCTACTTATTGCCCAAGTATATATATTTTTGAAGATACAAGCAATTATTATTAAGATTCATGTTATAAGGAAAAATTCACCAAATATTTTCATGCTTTCTGCTTTCAAAGAAAATAAGAGATTCTTTCTTGATTTCCAGTCATGTGCAAAAATAAATTTTTTTCATTATATCAAAGCATTTGCTTTTCCTAACGTTTTCAAGGGATTCAAATTCTGATCAGATTGGAAGGCTCTAATTAATCCAGCAAGCTATATTTAGTATTCATAAGGACAGTAAATTCAGTGTCACTCTTCTCTGTAGGGGGTGCCATATGAGACTTACCATCAGCAATATCATCATAGATCTCTCCATCACTGTAAATGCAGAAAATAATTTTCGTTTTAATGTTTTCTTAACATTAAAGCAATATTTATATTAAAAAGTTAATAATATGATTTTATATGACACAAGACATTTAAGGGTGAGAAGTTACACATTGGGCATTTATAAGTGGGAAAAAATTTCATATTCATCTGTATCTCCTTTCATTGACTTAGTCTAATCCTCTGTGTCGTTCTAAAAAAAAAGCCCAAAACTTATTCTATATCATAGACAGACAGAAAAATGGAAACATACCTCAAGAGCACAGACCATGCCTTACTCATCTTTGGACCCAACCGTGAGCCCAGCACACAGCTGTGCTTGGTAATAAGTGTTCAAAAAATCATGGCGTGATACTCTACAGGGGGTGCTAATTCAAAACTGTAATGGATTCTTTATATCCATTAATATCAGATTTATACTTTCACTTGAACTTCAAACGCTGAATGAAATACAATAATATTTGGCACAGGAAATGGGTACATCATTTTCACATGTTTCTAATTATAATTTGTAAATATTGACTACAAAATATATGATATTAGTTACAAAATAAGTAGCCAAGATATGGTTAGTATGGTGATTCTTTTTTTTTTTAAGATGGCATCTGAGCTAACATCTGTTGCCAATCTTCTTTTTTTTCCCTCTTTTTCTCCCCAAAGCCCCTGGTACATAGTTGTATATTCTAGTTGTAGGTCCTTCTGGCTCTGCTATGTGGGATGCTGCCTCAGCGTGGCCTTCTGAGTGGTGCCATATCCGTGCCCAGGATCTGAACCAGCAGAAACTCTGGGCCACCGAAGCAGAGTGCCAGAACTTAACTACTCGGCCCTGGGGCTGGCCCCAGTATGGTGATTCTTACATAGAGAATTCTAAAAATATTTATGCTTATAGGTAACATCCATAATAGTAGTTCTGGCTACTTTTACACATTTTGGGTTTTACCTAGCCCTGAATCTTTAGCGAAATACTCTGTTCTACCCACACACTGAGTCCCTCCTATGTACCAGGAGACACAAATATGAATGAGACACAAGCTTTGATTTCAAGCAGTTATAATCTAATGGAAGAGAGACTGATACAGAAGTAATTAAAATAAAAAATATTATAAATATTAACATAGCCTTGAAACGTAGGATACAGTTTCAAAGTTCAGAAATGTAAGGTGACTTTGTCACTTAGACCAGACCCACTTTTGGTTCCTGTACCAGCTCTGTGCTTTCATCCTGGAAGCAGCAGCAGGCCCTTCAGATTGCTGCCAACTGCAGCAGATGCTGTGAGTTCCCTATGTCTTCTGTTTGGATCTTTTCTCTATTGAGGGAGGGTTTGGCTAACGGAAATCTGATTCAAATGCAAGCAGGAGAGATTTTCCTATCATTCATTCAATAAACATTTATTAAGTATTCACTTCAATAGGTGGTGAACCAACAATTACTTAGGACGCTTTCTAAATTCTCTCTTAATCATCCTGTAGTATCACTGATGAAGATGTTGTCCTATTATTTGCCTCATATTCTTTCCTTGAAATTTGTATCTTTCATAGAATAAAACCTATTGAAAAGTTCCATGTCTATCAGCATGACTAATGCTCTGAGGAAAGTAAATTATGGTTATTTTTCTTTTGACTCTACTAGTTTGCTGACAGAGCGCTTAACATTGATTTGTCTCTTCCTGATTGGTGTCTGGTTGTTCATGGATCCAGTTTGTGAATCCTTCTTGATGTTTTTCTTATGCCAAATTCTGTGACTCTTTGTATTGGTATATGACCTAGCCTGAAATGGAGCTCATTCTTACACAGTTTCTTTGGAACAGAATCTTATAGTGTTTCGGGGAATTCTACAGCACAATAGTACCACACTGTGACAACATCTTATTCATAAGAAGAGAAGAATCATTGACTACTATCTGTTTTCTGGCATGCTTCCAAAAAAGGCAACTTAATTCTCTACTATGCCTGGTGTGAGTAAAGAAAATTCCTCAATTAGGGGTTGGACTGTAAACTGTTAACAGGTGATATTAGCACCGACTGTGTAGACACTAATTGGTCCCTGATTAATTCAATTCAACTGACTGCATTAATCAGCAAGTGACATGCAAAGTAGTAATGGAAGCGTTAGTGACTTTGACTTGTCTGTCTCTGTTTGCAATATCTGTCTCCAATGAATATATAAAGCCGTGAACTATAGAATCATGAATGAAAAGGACTTCTTGCCTTTTTAAAAGAGTAACACTTTTGCAAATCAAAACTACACTAAGATATCACCTTACCCCCGTTAGATTGGCAAAAACATCCAAAACCAAGAACGACAAATGTTGGAGGGGTTGTGGAGAAAGAGGAACCCTCATACACTGTTGGTGGGAATGCAAACTGGTACAGCCACTATGGAAAACAGTATGGAGATTCTCAAAAAGTTAAAAATAGAAATACCCTATG